CTCTCTGGGCTCGGCCGTCCAGCCAGTTTTTAACCCAGCGCAGAGTGCACCCATCCAAGCTGTGTGCAGCCAGCTTCTCCAGGAGAATGCTGTGGGGAGACAGTGTCAAAGGCCTTACTAAAGTCCAAGTAGACAACATCCACAGCCTTCCCCTCATCCACTAAGCGAGTCACCTTGTCATAGAAGGAGACCAGGTTAGTGAAGCAGGACCTGCCTTTCATAAACTCATGCTGGCTGAGCCTGATCCCCTGGTTGTCCCACATGTGCCGTGTTATGGCACTCAAGATGAGTTTCCTCCAAGTGTTTCTTTAATTTACAGTAACAATCTCTCTGTGGCTTCATTGATCTTGATCCCAGTCCAGAAATGGTGCAACATGATTTCCTCATGTGGCTGCCACTGCTGCGCAGGCTTTCGCGTCACCCCTTCCTGTTGACTCAAATGCTCTTTTCTTACTTTTGCCGATGTCAAACAGAGATAGCGGATCAGGGAAGACTTCTGAGCAATGCAAAATAGAAGAACAGAAATGTGAGGATTTCAGCATTAAGTCCTGTCAAAAAACACTTCAGCTTTCAACTCCTCCTAATTCCCGCTGGTAGACCCCAAGAAAAGGAGGCACGTAACTCTAAGTCAGGTCAAATTTGCAACTATCTGAACTATCTGCTCTTTTAAGATTTCCTTTTCCTGGCCCCTATTTAAGCTATTTATTCACTCTTACTCTACCTGCTGCCAATTGCCTCTTTTTTTTTTTTTTTTTCTCCGCATAAAATACCACTGTTTATTTTATTTTTCAATGATTCCTGGGAGAGTGGTTGGTCTTTGCAGTTTGGCAAACTGGTGGCCTTGCTTAAAAGTAGAAATGGAAGACCTTGCTCAGCTCTTAGATCCTGGTCCCCAAAGGGTGGTCATTAGTGCTGATTTTTCTAATATTGTTGCCAGGTATGTAGCGGGCCAATGCACAAATGCTGTATTATAAACAGGTTGTAATACCCATCCTGCTCCGTTCTTCAGCAACCTCATGGGATTTCTGAGTGTTAGAAAACTGGACAGACAATTAGCTGGACCTCTTTTAAAAAAAAAAAAAAATTGGGTAGTCCAAAGTTTTGTTAGGCCTAAATGTACTGTAAGCTTCAGTAATTAAATAATCCATATTTATGCTTGACCTGTGAAATGAGACCATGGGTGGAGGTGAGGTGTTAACCATTGACACTTGTGAGCACCATGTAACACATGCAATGATACTTGCTCAGGTTTGCAGTTAGTCTGAAGCAAGAGCTTTGTAACCAAAAGATGCTAATTCCATGTCAGCAGTGGTGTGAATTTTAAAGCCGGCTGTTTCTGTGCTCACCTGAACATTTGAGAAAGAAGAAGTAGTATCTTCCTTTAAACGTCATAGTACAGATGAGGACATCCAGATGGGCCGTGGAGTTTTGCCAGCATTGGAGAAGCAGGATGTGTATATTTTAAGATAGGAAGAGTTAACTTTGTTTCCCTGAAGCTCACCTTTAAGGAAAGAGTACAAAACCCATGCTTGTTCACCTATATATGCATGTTTATACAAGCATATATATCACTTACATAAATATGCACACACACATCCCTCATCAGGTTGCTGGTAAATTAAATTACTTCCCTTTGGAGATCTGGCAAGAGGGATTTCTTTTTTAAGTACGAGTTTGAAGAGATGCCTGGACAAGCTGGGCTAGATAAGCATGCGGCATGTGGAGAGATCAGCAAGGAAGGAGGAGGGAAAGAATAACAAGGAGATGTAAAAGCTGACCCAACTGGCAAGGCAGAGGCGATATCTGTGCTGCAGCTGGAGGAAGGGTTGCCGAACAGGTAGGCACAGCATAGGCAGCCTCAGCTTAACCAACTGCAGCGAGGATGTGGCATTAGAGATCTGATGTGGGCTGAAGAGCCAAGGTTGATGGTAGGTTTGCACAGTTTGTGCTACTCTGGCTTAGACTGCTGCCATAGACGAGCCAGCTTGAGTGTCTTTCAGCAGCTCTGTAATAAAGGCAGAGTGAAAAAATGAAGTATTGCTGTTTATACGGACTGGAGATAGCACTTAACATGTAGCCTCGGTGCTACATGCAGTAGTATTGTGAGATTGTTGGGAATGCATCTATCTTAGCTTCTGGAAGGAGCCCAGAAGGAGCTGTTGAGCAGAGCCCAGGATGGTGACAAGAAGCAAGCTGTCCTCATCTCTCACGAGCTGTTTGCTTTCCTGCTCGTGTCCAGAGAGGAATGGAAGGATTCCTGGTTGCTTTTCTTCTGCTGTGTGCATCTCAAGATGTTAATACCAGTAGTCATTTCAAGCTGGCTGGCTGCCAGAAAGTGGAGCATAACAATGCTTATCCTCTTAAACTTAGAGAGGGTTTACAACTAGCTTACTAGCTTGTAGATGATTAACATCAGACCTGGGAAGGGGCTTGTGGGGAAAGAAGGGCAAATAGTACCATTAACAGGCTGACCGGTCTCAACTGAATTGTATGCCTCTCTTTTCCAGTCCGCTCGTTCCTGATACTCAGAGTAAAACTGAAACAATCAATATTGAATGCCCTGAAACAATTACTAGGGGAAATTTTTGAACCAGACTGCAACAATTCTAGGGTTTAGTTTTGTGACAAATCACTGTGTGTCCTTCCTCTCACAACTAAGCGATCCCCTTTTTGCACACCCTAAACCCATGTCCAGCCTGTTGAACATGCAGCAAGTGCCTCCTTATCTGTAGACTCTTGGAAAAACCAGAACAAAACCAAAAAAGAAACCTGAGAGACCAGCAGCTGTGGTTAATGAGCTGAACTTCATTGAACAGCTTGCTTTTCTGCCCAGCAGAAACTTGGGTTTGTACTTCATCCTTATCAATTCCTTCATCACCCAGAGATCTCTGCAGGTTAATCAGAGCTATGAGGAAAGCTGAAATCTGAGGGATCAAAAAGCAGCTGCCAGGCAAGTGTATGGCAGGAAACCCCATTCTGGAAAGCAACACACATTCCCCAGAAATAGTGTCGAGATACCCTTGAGACAATATCGTCATTGCTGTTCCCGAGCCCTTGGGCTGTTGTGGCGAAGCTGCAGCCTGTGAGCAGTCTGGTTACACACATTATATTACGGAGCATCTTTCGCCAGAGAGCCGATGTGTTTGGTAGGGAGCGAGTAACGTTTTACAGCTTTCTCTTGTGCCCGCTCAGCTCAGAGAGGGCTGTTGAAGGGGTATCATCTCTGCTGATTGAGGCTAAGGGTAGTTCGGGGAGACCTGACGGGAGCTGGTTAGTGATGAGCGCACGCCTACTGATAAGCTTAATCCACATGTGAACAGGAATTCATTTCATGACTGGGGACAAAATTTTTGTGAGGAGTGCAGGGCAAGGAGGTACTAACAGATCTTCCTAGGATTGACTTAATCTTTCCTGAAGAAATCAGGATTTTTTTTTTTTTCCTCAACATCTCATGGGTGCTTAATCTGTTTTTGCTTGGGAGATAATAGTTTTACTTAGAATTTTCTAAGCCTGACAGAGGATATGATTAATGCTGTTCATATCTGTTGTGTTTGCGTGTGTGAAGGATCGCCTGTTCTTTGTGATGGAGTTCGTAAATGGCGGGGACTTGATGTTCCATATTCAGAAGTCGCGTCGCTTCGATGAAGATCGGGCCCGGTTCTATGCTGCAGAAATTATTTCAGCCCTTATGTTTCTCCATGAAAGAGGCATCATTTATCGGTGAGCTCTGCATTCATTCATTCTCTTTGTCTGAACCCCACGGCTGAGACGATAGCTTGAGTTTTCTCCTTGAATAAATAACTGTCACTTGCTGCCCACCAGGAACAAGTTGTCATCTGGGATAACAGTACCTCCGCTTTCCCCCTGCGCGTTGCCCAAGGTGCACCAGTTTCCAGGAAGGAGCGAAGTTTCTGGCTGCAGGGGCTAGATTTTGTGTTGGTGCCAATTCACGTTGCCCTGCAGACGTAGCTGGTGTATATCAGCCGCAGAACTGCCGCTTGTCTGCAGCTCGGGTACCTGCGTGGCTGCTGGGCGTTAGCTGCTGACCCGCAGAAGCCTCCGCCGTGCTGCTCTGGGCCTGTCTTGCCACCGTAGAGCACGTGTCAAACTGATGACAAAAGAAGAGGCATTAAGTGAAACCTTCCTAGGTTTTCTGGGAGGTAAACGCAAGGAGCTGTTGCTTTTGCCACTGTGTGCCTTGTTATTTAAAGGCTAATATGTGCTGGTTACACCCAAGCCTCTTTGTTTCCCTGCGTCAGCTACGGGCCTGTGTTTAAACCATATCTATTTGACATACCTATCCAGTGCCTCTCAGCTCAGCCACTTAAAGTCTTTTCATTCTTGCCATGGTCCTACAGCAGTTTTTCCTTCCTGTCCATGTCTGGCATCTTTGCGTTTGCAACAGGATTGGAGCATCGTTGCCTCCCAGCATCAGCCTCCGCTCCCAGGTCTCAAGGCTGTTCTCAGGAAGCCGTTTCCCATACGCAGCGCTCTTTTTTTGTCATTTCTCTGTACTCAGGGGGGCAGTTTGGTTATACTTGTTCCCTGCTATACTGCCAAAACGCTCCACTGTCGGCTCAAGCATCAAGGCATGGACCAGCCAGCATGGATCAGGCAGCCAGTCTGCTTTGCAGAGGCCTCCCTGACCAAGATGACCATTTGACCAGCATCCTCCCATGTAAGCCAGGGCAGAGCCAGACCTCTTCTGGGGTGGAACAGGACAGCTAGAGCAGGGAAATGTCAGCACTGAGACAGTCTGGTTGTAGAGAAAGGTTTCTTTCTGACATGCTTTGCAGAACACTTCTGACATCATCTTGCTCAGAGCAGTGGAAAGGAGGAACAGACGGTTGTTTTCTTTGGAGACTGTTACCTGGGTTCCAGCAGCAAAGCATGCATATTTGGGTATGCTGTGCTCTAGCCCTGCTCAGTCCCACTTGTGGCATGCCAGCACTGCAAATAACAACGTCAACTCTCTCTCTTTGCTGCTTGGTTACAGTTGTACAGCTGGAACCCACAGCTGGGTCCAGGATGGGACCAGTTCCAATCCCAGTCAGGCTCCGTTAGTACCGTTCAGACTGTGGGTTGGGCCAGATGCCGTTTGGTTTGGGGCTTTGCATTGTTTAACCCAGGCAGTGCAGTCCTGTGTTTAGTAGTGCGTCTTCCCCTATCAGATAAATCCCGGTTTGAACACACTAAAACCAAAATAGCTGAGGGCTAAAGTGGCCAAAGGGGGGGCTGTGCGGGGAAAACTTTCCTATCTGATGGTGAGATGACAGAATAAATCAAGTAGAAGCAACCTTTCTTTCTCTTCCTAGCTTGAGCTCCAGTAAGAAACAGATGGTCAGGTGAGGACAGAGAATATTAAATTATTTTTAAGTATGGAATCATATGATAAATGTGGCACAGTGAAATAGAGAAGGAGTGTCATCTTAATATTCTCTGGGCCCTGAGAGTATGAAAATTACTAGTGACATATACCATATATATCGAGCTTCTAAAGCACTGTGATTGTCTGCATAGAATAGCAAATCTACTTAGTCTACAACTGGATTTCCGTCTAATTCTTCCCTTGTGAATAATGCCAGCCGCTGAAGAGAGACCCTGCCAGATGATTACGCAAATGACATTATCCTTAAAATAGTGATATCCAGTAGTTATTGTCAATCATTCAGCAGCAAAACTGTGTCTATGCGTAATGTAATGCCGCTGCGCTTCCAGCTTGTCCTGTCCCCCCAGCCTGCTGCCTGTCACAGGGCAGGAGTAATCGATCCCTCTGGGTTTTGGCGCTCTTCAAGTGCTGCCGTAATTCATGATAGAAACTGGAGGAGTAATTGAAAAACTCCTTGAACAACTGCACAGGCTTTGATCTTGTTGAGGAACTGGTTGAGCTGTGGAGTCAGGTAGCTTCAGCTGCATGGGGCAGATTTGCACAGGGATGACTTGGTTTTTTAAAATTAGTCGGGGTGACTCCGTTCTGGAAGATGTAAGGGGAGAGAGCTGCTGGCTGCTGCTGTACTGACCTGAGATTGCTTCTGTTGGGTCACGAACAGCGGGCTCAGGAGGGAGTCTGCAGGAGGGAAGGAGATGCTCAGAAGGGAATCACTGCACTTATGTAAGAGAGTCTGGAGAGTGTATGATCCGAATGTGAGTGCTTGCTTAGGAGGCTGGGAGCAGGGGGGAGAGACACCAGGAAAAGCCTGACCAGAAAGCGTTTTGCCACAAGCTGTTCAATGTGCCTCTTCTTTCTGGATTCCCAGGGTCAGTGGAGTAAGAGAGTTGCTGGCCTAGAATACCCTGGGTCATTTGTTTTTCTTCTGATCTAAACTTAAACATAATAATACTGTATTTTTCCTTGCCCCCTTCAAGATTAAGCAGTTCAGGAGAGAGTCTGCATTTACCAACACAATGTGTGTTCTCCCGGTAAGTCAAGCTGCTTTTGCCGCACGTGCTGCCAAAAGCTGGGCCTTCTCTCCTTTGAAATGCTGGAGAGGCTTGAGAGCCAGCACTGAAAGTTCATCGAGAAGTAGCTGAAATGCGTCACTTTGGCCTGGGGTAACAATGCTGGTAACAGCTAAAAATCAGGTGTTTGTTGATTCCTTTTCTGGCCACACATATGCAATTTGAAATAGCCATAGTGCAGGGTTTCTGCAATTGCTACTGTGAGTCCATGAGAATGGGGTTCCTGAGGCAGATGGTGCATTTTGCTTATATGTGACTTTTTAACATCAAAACCAGGCTTACTGCTGGATTGGTGCTCTCATAGGGTGGTTTTCATGATGCAACTGAAATTTTCAGTAAGTCTGCTTCTCACTTCGAGGAAAGTCTGCTTTCCATTACTACGCCCTGGCCAGAACAGAAGTCACATAAATGTGTGTGTGTGTGTGTATTTGTTTGTTGTTTTTTTTTTTTAAAGAGGGGTTTCAGTTTCACAGAGTTTTTTTTTTTTTATTATTTTTCATTTGCAACACTGCAAAGGAGAGATGGCTTTCTGGCCTTATCAAGGAAATATCTCTGTCTCGCCCTAAGCTGAGGTTTAGCTGTCAACTCAGCAGTGCCTATTTATAGTTGCTTCCTGAAAAAAACGTTGACAAGTACAGTGTGGTTCCTTATCCCATCATAGGGGGGGTAGGACTAGAATGAATCCAGCCATGAAAGCGCGCTTTTCAACACGTCAAATCATAGTATATTGTGCACCCCACAGAGGAGTAGGACAAGGACATAGTTGGGATCAGCTCCTGCTGTATGTTGCCAGGAAAAGGTTAGGCAATAATCAAAGCTATTGTAGATAAAATCTTTGCTCACAGGGCAGTATTCTTGCACTGCTGCTTTCTTTAAGCTCACTTCTAAAGGAAAATAGTATGCTGGGTCCTGTTGCAGGTAGGTAGGTTGGTTTGTGATTTTTATCTAAAGACTATATGTGCTATTTTTCTTGAGGCAGCTCTTCCCGACTTTCACTTTCCAGTTCAGCAATTCCCAGGGTAGGGGGAGCGTATTTTGGCTTCTGTGCATGCCGGAAACAAAACAAACCAGCATGCGCATCTGAACAGTATTAGATTGCACAGTGGCTTACTCAGTGCAAGTGAGCTAGTCCGCTCGTAGTCCTCTAAAAAGCAAAGAGATAGTAAATAATTATGAGGGGTTATTTTAAAAGCATGACTTTTCCTTCCATGTGGCATTACTGTAAGAATGGCTGGTCTGCCCTGCTGCCCTCAAATTCAAGCCTTTGCATAGGTTGGTGTACAGCTTTGGTAGTGGATAGGTCCACTTGCTGGGGTCACCTATATGGTGTCCCTCAACAGAGGCATCATACCTGTGTACTAAGGGCAAATGCAAATGTTTTATTAAAGTTTGTTGTTATGGGGTTTTTTTTTGGAGGAGGAGAGGGCTTGGGGGTTTTCCCTGCAGACTTTTTTCAGTTTCGGAAAGATAACAGCCTTTTTACAGGCAACATAAAGCAATCAACCCAACCTAGTGACATGGTCTTGATTTTTATGACAAACCTTCTTTCTCTCCCTCTGCAAATGTGTCTCACTAGGAGGATGTATGGGCGATGAGATGGGCACTTTTCAGAACATGTCTCCACCACCCACAGAGGCGATACAGCATGCAGTACGTGGTGACGTACCTGAACTGGCCTTGGGTTAGCTATATCTGGAAGCAGAGGCAGTGTCGCCTTTACACCCTGCACTTCAGTGCCGGTTTTGCCAGCTCTGGGTATGGAGTTGGATAGTGGAGAGAGATACGTGACCCAGCCCGCTGCTTGGCCCAGCGTGGTGGCAGATATATCGTTAAGGGTATCAGTAGTGTAGCATGTAGGTAATGTAGCTGATCAAGAGCCAGAGGAGCTAAAAGGCTGGGCTAGACAGCTTGGGAGAAGGACTGGTTGTTGGCTGTCTGAAGAACCTTGTTTTTATCCTGAGGGCTCATGCTAAACTAGGTGGCTTATTCCACTGGCTTTGTGTCTGTGTTGATATTTCTAACGCAGCTGGCCCTTCCAGGGATGCTCGGGGTCTGCTTGTTCTTTGTCACGCCTCTGAACATGCGGTGGCCTGCACGGAGGCCCCATGCTCCGATGTGGCACCAGCCACCGAGATAAAAGGCAGCAAACCATTAAGTAGGTCCTGTGACTTGACTCTGTTCAATAGGATGCGTGGTCCCTTTAGAAGGCAAAAGACAATTATGCAGCCACCCAGGTGAGAACGTGGTCTTACCTTGGGGCT